TACACTGCTGCTCTACCATAGGGAAAAATTTATTTTAAAATATATTTTTATTGAAATTTTGTGGATTTCATACAATACATCTTAATCATATTTAGCTCCCACTTCCCTATTTGTACCCACCCAAAGCCCTCCCACAAGACTTCATGTATTTTGTCATATATGTTAAGGATTATCAAGTCAAGTTTCTGTAAACATATATCCCTTAGTGTGAATTCATTCCCTGGAACCTGTTCAGCCTGCCTAGTGTCACTCCCTTAAAGAAGATCAACTCTCCCTCACCCAGCAATGACCAGCTGCCAACAGTTCCTCACCAAAGTTGTGACCTCCCGCCCATCTCCCCAGTTCTGTTCTGAGTTTAGTGTGAGTTTCTATGTGTCTTATGGATGCTGCCACCATTGCTGTAGGTTCATATGAGGATGGTCTCAGGAGCCTGTAAGACTGTTTTTGTATTTATAATAGGAAAAAGGCCCCAGTCCAGAAACCAAGTGTAAGAAGCAAGAATGACCCTTTTGATGCAACCAATCCACTGTTAAAATCCAGCTTCTTAATCCTAAAACTCTGGAGTCTGTAAGGAGTAGTCTCCCAGGAGGGAAGATTTCAAGGATTCCATTGAACTATGAGCTATAGTTGCTGTCAGGGCACTGTAGACCAGCAAGCAAAAAAAAAAAAAGTCACTTTTTAAAAATAGCATTTGACTATGATCAGCAAATAAATGTATGCCATGATACAGGATCATATAAGTGATTAGGGATGTGTACTTCAACTGATCCACTTAAGTCACTCTGTATATCTAAAAGATTAGTTGAAATTGGAAAAGCCTAAGTTCTGTAACATCAGCTTAAGAGGGATGTGGTTACCAGAGGCTCAGACACTTCTTTCATGAGAGTTTAGGCCCATAATGTGGTAAGCTACCAGGACCAGTGGACATGATAGCTGAAGGGTCTGGGGATTTAGAACACATACATAGGAGAAAAGGAATGATACTAACTGTGGTTTAAAAAGCAGCTATAGTACCGGCTCCGTAGAAACATGTGACTGAACACCATAAAGGTAGCAGGCTTCGGTCTTCTTTTGTCCAGTGTGGGGCCCTTTTTGCACGGTCTTTTTTAAAAGAAGCTTTTCATTTGGCCAGCTGAGAAGTTATCACACCTGCATCTTGAGCTGAAGCATCCTTGCCAACTCTGCACCTCTGCAACACATCTGTGTAGTTCTGTGTGGCACTGGTGACATACTCAATTAAGAGCAACTGTAGGGCAAATTGTTTAGGATTTTTTTTGGTCTCTTTGAGACAGGGTCTCCCTGTAGCCCCAGCTGGCCTGGCACTCACTATGTAGACCAGGCTGGCCTTGAACTCATGGAGATCCGCCTGCCTTTGCCTCCTGAATGCTGGGAATAAAGGCAAGCAGCACCACGTGCCCAGTTTGGGATTTAATTTTTTAGGTCAAAGCTTTCTGCCAGTTCATTTGGTCTCCTTTACTTCTATTTATTAATTTGGAAGATACAGAGGACTGCTCACACCTCCTTGATGGAAGAGGTTGCTGTCACTCTGAGGAGTGCAGACCCCCAGGTGAGGCATCAACATACTATGTCGCAGCATTCCAGTGAAGGCCACTTTTTGGGGATGTTCCTGGTCAATGACTTCTAAAGAAGCCTATTCAGTTCTAATGGGCACAGAAATGAATGCTTAAACTATTGTTATTTAACACAAGATCACTTACCTTACTATGAGTAATAATATCACTCCCCGTGAATTCATTATTAGGTTTTTATTTTATCATCTAAATCCAGTAAGCATTAAATCCAACAAAACAAAAACTATTTGCTAACCACAACAATTTAGCTTCAATTTAAAGTAATGAAAGTCTGTTCTAAATGCTGAATATTTCCTGTGTTGGTATTACCGCAGATAAGTAGAGAAGAAATGATTAAAGTGAAAAACAGTAATAAGACTCCCAAAAGATTGTAGTTAACTCTTGTTGCTAAAGTATGACTATGTGTAAGCATGAGACCAAAAGGGCTAAGGATAAAGACAAACCTTTGCTAATTGCTTATATAGTTATCTAATGTTATAAAATCTTAAACTACTCTTAAATACTTGATAAGATTAACTCATTCAATTTTCACTTGTTATAAATGTCTCTATTAAGATGAGTATTTCAAATGACAGTTTGTTATAGAGCTTTGATTAAAAAACATGCTGAAGGAATCCATAGTCAAATCTATTACATACTATGTATGACATCAGGGAGTAAGATGTTTACATAAAGGAAATGACACTACATAGAGATCAATCAAATTGGTGTCTTTCTGGCTGAAAAATGAGGAGGGGTAAATAAAGGGCAATCACCATGTTTTCAGGATTTATCTGGAATTTTGGGGTGAGTTGCATGGTTACTTGTATATATAGACTATATAGGAGAAGGTAGGTGAAATCTATATTCTAAAGATTGAACCTGGGTTAAATCCAGACATAAATTATATTTAAAAGTAAAGAAAATGACAAAATGACAAGTTAAAATATATAAGAATTAGTCAGAATTATTAAAAACAACTATACTAAATCAATGTAAATGTGCAAAAGGCAAGCAGAAAACTGAAAAATATTTGCCCTTGAAATACTGAATCAAGAAAAAATTGGAAGTCAACATGTTTAACACCAAGGGCTGCTCTATAACTACTTTTTCTCTGATAAAGGAACGCCTCACAGTCTCACTGGTCTGGGAGGGCACATGATAGAGTTCAGGGTAGGAAAGCAGCTAAATATATAGGAGGGTGTTTGTGGAAACAAGGGAGCTATAATAGAGGTCAGACCCAAAAGCTGATTGCAAACCCTGCTGAAACTGCTTTCAGAATAATGAACTATACAAGGATGTGGAAGAACCCAGGGATCCTGACAATGGACATGGAAAGCAGAGGGAGTCTTAGTTTTTTAAAAAAACATTTTTATTGAATTGAAGATTTCATGAAATGCATTTTGATCATATTCAGACTCCCTCCCACCTTATTACCTCCCTGACGCATGTCCCCTATTATTATTTGTCTTATTTTTAAAGGCTTATCAAGTTTAATCTGTGTTTTCTAAATGTCTTTGGGTATGTATCCCTCAGAGTCCATCTAACAGGCATCAAACCAGTAAGGAAAATTAACTCTCCCTCTGCCAGCATCCAACAATTCCCAATAAATCCTCAGCTAGGGCTGGGACTTCCTGCTCACCTCCCCCATCCATGCAGAGCCCCTGTCTGATTTAGGTTTGCACAGGTTGTGTGCACGCTGTCATAACTGCTGTGGGTTCATATAGAACCTGTGGGGTACAGACAACACAGTTTCCTTGTATTCACCCACTACCTCTGATTCTTACAGTTTATCCACCCCCTTTTGTACAATGGTTGCTGACCCTTTGGAGGAGCGGGTGTGATATAGGTGCCCCATTTAGGCCAAGTGCTCCATATTCTCTTATTCTCTGCATGTTGACAATTGTGTGTCTCTGTGTAAATTGCCATCTGCTGCAAGAAAAACCTTCTCTGGAGAGAGTTAACAGATGTGCTAATCTATAGGCATAACAATAATTCATTAAGAGTTAGTTTCATTCTATGTCTATTTTGCAGAAAGATAGTAGTAAGCTTTCCCCTATGGCCTGTGACTTGTCTAGTCACAGGTTCTTGGCTCTGATAACAGTATTAGGTATAGACTCTAGCTTGTGAAGCAGGCCTTAAATCCAAGTAGAAGGTGGTAGGTTACTCCTATGACATTTGCTCCACTATTGCACTAGTGGGACATTTTATTCTTGAATGGTAGAATGTCTCTTGGTAAGAGTACAAAGTTGGCTATGCCTTTGACAATTGTTTCCCAATCCATACTCACCCTGGAAGCTGAATGTAGAAGTTTTATTGCTTTGAAACATCAATGGTTACAGCTCAGTTTTAATTTAGGGAGGCATTCATACAAGAAAATCACAGAGAAGAAAATGTGGCAGCTATGTTAGTTGACCTGTGCACTCCAGATGCACAGTACTTTTGTCAATTGCATAGTACAATAGAGCTGATTCAAAATAAAAAGAAAATCAAATGGATGGTGCATTAGTTTTCTGTTGCTGATTTAACAAAGTATGACAATCTCTATCTTTCTATCATCTATCTATCAATCTATCATCTATTTGTGTATCATCTATCTATCATCTATCTATCATCTATCTATCATCTATCTATCTATCATCTATCTATCATCTATCATCTATCTTTCTATCATCTATCTATCATCCCACCCAGCAAGAATTTGGACTCAAAACATTCTCTCAATGAAATATAGAGGAAGTGACCCATCTATCTATCTATCTATCTATCTATCTATCTATCTATCTATCTATCTATCATCTATCTTTCTATCATCTATCTATCTATCTATCTATCTATCTATCTATCTATCTATGATCTTCCCACAGTTTGCAGAACTTCAACACCCATTCAATTAGGCAGAAACTGGAAGTCAAGTTGGTTAGTGAGCTCCAGGGATCCTCTGTCTCTACCTCCCCAGTGCCAGGATTAGAGGCACACATCACCATTGCCCAACTTTATGTGTGGGTGCTGAGGCTCTGAACTCATGACGTTAGGCTTTCATGCAGGCACTACACTGGCTAAGCCACCTCCCCAGTCTCCAATAGTTATAAGTTCTATTGATTAAGAAGTGAATACATCCATGGAGTAGTCAATTTTAAGGCCTCCCACAGAAGTTGAGACATAGAATCCAAGTAGGAAAAAATACAAAACAGAGTGTGGTTTCGTATGACAAAGGCAGTGTATAGAAATGAGCACTCATGGTCCCAAATACCAGCCTTGACAATATTAACAATGAAACGGAAGCAATTTAAAAGGAATATTGTGGAAACTATATAATAATGATATTTAAAATATATGTTAAGAGAGAGTCAAGGAAGTGGAAGAATAAACTTAAATATTGACCAATAGAAATTATCCCATTCAGGAAGAAGAGAAAATATTAAAATATTGCTTTGGGAGCACATATGCTAAAATTAAAATGATACAGAGAAGATTAGCATGGCCCCTAAAAAAATAAATAAATAAGCTGGGAGTGGTGGCACACACCTTTAATCCCAGCACTTGGGAGGCAGAGGCAGGTTGATCTCTGTGAGTTTGAGGCCAGCCTGGTCTCCATAGCAAATCCAGGCCAGCTGGCGCTAGAGGGAGACCCTGTCTCAAAATAGATAAATAAATAAATAAATAAATAAATAAATAAATAAATAATAAATGCAAATTCTTGGAAACTTGAAAACAAAGTAAAGTGATACAGAGGGGCTGGAGTGATGACTCAGTCATTAGGAGCACTGGCTGCTCTTCCAGAAGACCTGGGTTCAATTCCCAAAAAGCCACATGGTGGCTCACAACAGTCTGTAACTCCAATTCCAGGGGATCCATTGCCCTTTTCTGGCCTGTGTGGGCATTGCACACATCTGGTGGTCTTACATACATGCAGGCAAAACATCCATCCATACAAAATCAAAATAAATGAGTAAAAAGGGAATAAAGTCAGAATGTAGGTAATAAGATAGAAAAAAAGAATTATCCAAGGAAGAAGTGCTAAATTAGGCATGTGGTCTGGGGGCTGCATGCATCCAAGAATAGCAGTAAATGCAGCCCAGAGCACTTGTAGATGATGTCATACTGCAAAGCCCAAAGGCTGAATGTCCCTGCTAAAGAGTTGAACAGGGCTGGAGAGATGGCTTGGTGGTTAACAGCACTTGCTGCTGTTGTAGAGGACCCAGGTTTGGATCCCAGCCCCCATAAAGTGGCTAACAACCATCTGTAACTCCAGGTCCAGGAAATTCAGTGCCTCCTCTGGCCTCTGCAGGCACTGCACACATGTTATGCATTTAACATACATGCAGGTAAAACACTCATCTGCATAAAATAAAGCAATAAATAAAATCTTTTAAAAAGAGTTGAAAAAATAGGTACCCCCAAACTTCCTAAATATTGTGGAAAACTTTAACATACAATTCCAAAGATCACTAGATCCCAAATTAAAAAAACAAAACAAAACAAAAACAAACAAACAAAAAAACAACACAAAGCAAATCACACCTTGTCAGTAGAGGGCAATCGCAAATTACTGAATGGTAAAAACAGAAATATTAACAGTAGCAAGTGAAAAGAAAACACTGAGGAGACATTAATATGCCCAGCGACTGACTTCTTCTTCAGAAACAATGGGAGCTAATAGTCATTGAAATGGTCTATTTCAAACACTGAAAAAAACAAAAACCAAAAAACAAAACAGGCACCTAAGAACCTGATATCCAGAGACGCATTTAACAGTACAGGCAAGGGGCTGGAGAGATGGCTCAGTGGTTAAGAGCATCGTCTGCTCTTGTAGAAGACCCAGGTTCGATTCCCAGCACCTACACCATGGCTGACAAACTGTAACTCCAATTCCAGGGCATCTGACACCCTCTTCTCACCTCCATGGGCATTACATGACACAGGTACACTTATACACGTGCAGGTAATGCAAATGCACATAAAATATAAATAAAATAAAATATTTTAAAATACAGGCACGATTAAACGAAATTCTTTCAGGAATTTGAAGAGCATTAAAACCAGATAATAACTTGGATCTGTAAGAAAAAAATATAAAAAATAAATCCAAGAAATTATTTTTAATAAAAGAAAAAGGAAGAAAGGAATGAAGAAAGGAAGAAAGAATGTAATTAGGCTCACAACCAAAAATAGTCCATTCACAATAGCACTGTAATTTTTACTTAGGAATAAAAGTGACAAAATATATGTATGACATTGCATTAAAATGAAAAATTATTATTGAGAGGAATTAATGAAGACCTAAATTAATAGAGAGATAGAAACATATCAAGTTAATGGATTTTAAAGTCCTCATAGTAAGGATTGTTAATTCCCCATTAATTGCACAATAGATTTAATGCAGTCTCAATTGAAATACCAAAGTACCAAAGAACAGCCTTTTTCTAGAAATTCAAGACATTCTTATGAATTTTATTTGGAAATACAAATAACCTAAAATAGCCACAAGTTTAAAAAGAAAAGGGAAGCTGTACGATTGAGTCTGCCTGGCATCAGCATTTTCTGTAATTATAGCAGAGTCATTATTCTATGGGAATAAGAATAGACACATCTGGAGTTGGGGAAATGACCTTGGTAAAGTGCTTGTGCCTGCATGAGGACCTGAGTTACATCCCAGCCCCCACATGAAAGCTGAGCAGGGCTGCAAGCCTGTAAGCCAAGCACTGGGGAAGAGGAAAAGGAAGATCCCTGAGGTTTGCTGGCCAGCCAGCCAGTCCAGCCAGGTGTGAGCTCCAGGCGCAGAGAGAGACTTTGTCCTGAACAATAAGGTGGAGTACAATTAAGGAAGACACTATGGCCTCTTTGAACATGTGTACACATGTGCACACACACAAACATGTCCATACATAAATGCACACACATTTATCTCCACACATGAATACATGCATAAATATATGCATACACATACAAGAATAGATTTATGAGAACTGACTCCAAAATTTAGTTTTTAATTGATTTTTATTATTTTAGGTCATGTGCATGTGGGGGTGGTATATGCACACAAGTGCAGGTACTTATGGAACCATAGCAATGGATCCCCGTGGAGCTGGAGTTACAGTGGGCTGGAGTCACCAGGCATGGGTGCTAGGAACTGAACTAGCAAGAACAGTATGTGCTCTTAACCACTGAACTGTCTCTCTAGCCCCATCCAAAAGCATTTATTGAAATAAGGTAATTATATAGTTCCTTTAGTTTTTTTAGAGTCCAAGACATATATCTCTGAGAAGTGTGAGTTCAGAAGTTTGTATGTGAGTTCCTCACAGAATCTTAATGTTAACACTAAGTACACTACAGATCTAAACTAGGAGCTAAAATTATAAAATAAATATTTCTTAAGTGAAAAAACAAAAATGACTATCAACGTGAAAAATTATCGATAGTCAAAAGACACTATTATGAAATTTTAAGTTGTAGTTTAACATTTGATGGAAAATTAGCAAAGTATTTAGAAGGATACTTCATAGAAGAAGATATGAGGATACATGACGAGTCTACGGAAAGTTGTTAACATCACAACTAATCAAACTCAAATGAGATAAGGATACACAACAGAGACTTCAATGAAAGATGTTGGAAGTCGAGATTTGTAAAGCTACTTTGGTAATGGGGCTGGAGAGATAGCTCAGTGGTTAAGATCACTGGCTTCTCTTTCAGAGGACCTGGGTTCGATTCCCAGCACCCACATGGTGGCTAACAACCATCTATAACTGTGGTTCCAGGTGATTTGATGCCCTTTTCTGGTGTCCTTGGGCATTGCACAACACTGGTACACTTATATATGTGTAGGCAAGATACTCATACCCATTAAAAAAAAAAAAAGCTACTTTGGTAAACAGCTGACAAGGACTTTTTTCCCTCTGATATTGAATAAGTTCATATAAGACTCAACCATTACTCTCTTATCTTATGTTTTCCCCAACAGAGAAGAAAGTATATATTCACACAGAGACCTTTAACTGAATATCTGTGGCATCAATATTCACATAGGTCTGTGGAATAATCTAGATGTCCTTGAACAGCTCAGTGCATTAGTCAATGGTGGAAAATATAAGTTGGTAGAAAGTGAGATAATATGTTGGCACATTGGTACAAGCACCATCAAGAAAGAATCTCAAACTCTTAGAGGAAAAAAATCCAGATGTGAGCTCTGCATGCCTACTCTAAGATTTAACGTTTGTGAAATCCTAGAAAAGGTGGAAGGTCTTTAAAAAAGTAGCAATCATTGCAGACTAAAACAGTATTCTAAGTCTTGGTGAAAGAAAATGTACTTGTAAATTCCAAAGATCTTTTCAGCTGAGGAAGAATCAAACACCAGAGCTTTTGTTTTGTTGTGTTTTGTCTTTTCTTTTCATTGAATTTTTGTACATTTCATATAAAACATCTTATTATCTTTATACCGCCTCCCCCATCTGGACCCCTCCCCATAGTCCACCCCACCAGATTTCATGCATTCTGTCATATATGTTAAGCCCTATCAAGTCAAGATAGTGTTTGTGTAATTATATCTTTAATTTATCATAGCGTTTATGTACTAATTTGGCTGGGTAGAAAATTATGGATCAAATTCATTGGGTTTTCAGTTTTTGAAGACACTGCCCTAAATGTCTCAATGTTCTTTTTTTCCGGTGTTGTTTAGAAGGGAGATGTATTTCACCAAGGATGTCTCATTTGTCATTTTCCTGCAAGATCAACTTTACCCACAAACAACTGCATACTTGAAGTCTCTCTGGTGCTCATCCGGGAATAGCATGTCATCTCTAGCTCCATCACAACCTTCCCCTGGAGTGTATTCAGAGTTGGCATTTTCCCCATGCATATTAATATAGTGCTACCCATTCTCCAAATGCTCTTTATTCATGGAAACTTATTTTATCTTACTCAGTACTATTCTTTCATGCAAAGTAAAACTTAGCTTTATAATGGTAATTCTAATGGTATTTTGGGATGTGGAAAAAGCAAATCACATGTTTTACCTGTTATTTGGAATAGGAAACACCTTATTGTTGATTTCTCCACATCCATAATACAGGCAGTTGAGTATCTTTTAGAGGATGCTGCTACAGCTAGTAGTTGTAGTTATCAGACTGCCCAGATTAAATAAGAAAGGTGAGGTTATTAATGGATAATATTTTTAATGGACAACAATAGAAAATTTAACCACATCTAAAACTTTGATTTTACATAATGTGTCAATGTTTTCAGTTAGCTAATAAGAAAGGAAACTCCATTTTACAGCTATTTTTCTTTACTATGTATTGTAGTTTGCCTTCAATTGCATCTTTAACAAATGGAGCTGGCAAAACTGAATCTCCACCTGTAGAAGAATGAAATTAGACCTTTATCTTTCACCTTGCACAAAAGTCAACTCCAAGGGGATCAAAGACTTCAATGTGAAACCTAAAACACTGAAACTGTTAGAAGAAAACATAGGTGATATAGCACAAGATACAGGTGTAAGAAAGGACTTTCAGAATCAGACATCAATTGCTC